CATATTTGTGGGATTGATTGGGTAAGAATTATTGCACCTATCTAATGATCAATGGATAAACTGAGGTACAGGGAAGAAAATGTCAATTTCCTACTCAGTGGCCAGGATGGAGAAAGATCCTGGGTCTCCTGAGCTCCAGACCAGGCAGTCACTATTGTACATTCCCTTGCAAACACAAGGTTTGAAGAGATGCAAATTAAATTAAAATGGCTTTCCTTCCCTTGCTTTTCAGACTAATCACCTGAAACCACATCCAATTTACAAAGATGAGATTGGTTATCCAGCGAGCCAAGAACATCTCAATCTTTCCTTCTTGGCATCATTTGTAAGATGAGCCAAGCTCCTAAGATCATATGGTTATCAGATTTTTCAGCTGACGGGAACCTCAGACATCATCTAGTTCAATTTCTCCATTTTACAAATGAAGAAACTGAGGCCCATGGAACTACAGTATATGTCTAAGTTGTTCAGGCAGTGATTAGTAAGGCCAGGATTCAAATTCTGGTCAAAGGATCAGAGAGTGAGTCCGACCCCTCCCCTCATTTTATAGATAAGTAGATTGGGGCTTGTATGATCTGTCCAAGGGTTAAGTGGGAAAGGCAGGATTAGGACCCATGTCTTCTGACTCCATTTTTGTCCTCACACTCCCTTTAAATTGGTTAGGATGTCAACTCCTTGAAGGCAGGGTCCTTTTTTACTTTTGTCTTTGTGATCCCCACAATTAGCCCAGCTTCTGAAGCAGGTAAGGCACTTAAAAACCTGTTAATTGATTAACAAAATGACCTATTTGGATTGATAGATGCTCACAAAAAAAAAGAAATGCTCCTCATATTCCTTTAATTGAGAACACAAAGATGAGTAAAGATTCTTCTTTTCTCCTGTGCCTCAAAGGGCCAACTTTAGCTAATATGATATTAACAAGACAGAGTTTCTTAGGAGAAAGAGAATGTTGGGAATCATCGGAAGGAACTGTCTTAACCCTTGGATAAAGCAATGATATGAAAGGTTTCTTACAAAAATTGAAGCACTTTTTTTGGGTACTCTAATAAAGCCTTTATATTTTGCCTCCAGCGAATGGGAGTTTAATACATTCACTCACAACATCTCTTGCTAGAGAGTCGGATGGTCCTAAAAAACAGCCACGTAAAAGGGAGATATCAGAGCAAGAGGTGACATGAGGAAGCAAAGCTTTAGGGGACTCAGTGTTCTAATCTTGATCTGGCTACAGAGGTATCTTTAAATTCATAACCAGTGTGATCAGCACTAGAATTAAAAAAAAAAATGGAGTTGTCAGTTTCCTTTCGACAATGACCTCCTTCAAGCTTTTTTAGTAAGCTTATATTTCATTAGGTGAGTCCACAGCCCCTCAAATGGTATCAAATGGTGTCTCTCTGTAGGACAATTTCTGTTTCTCATTGCTTATATTTGATAGATCTAAGTAAGGCTGGGAGTAAGGAAGAAGAGGAAAAGACAGATTTCTCTCCGAGCTGAAAGGACAATAGAAAGAACCGTCAGAGTTGGGAACACTGTTTCCTTTGGCATCACTCACCCAGCTTATTTGATAGCATGAATCATTCTCTTTCAAAACAAGCCCATGAAAGATCAGCCTGATTTTCTCCCTGCAATGTACAAGTGGAAGGCTTCTCCCCGCCTCCAAATGGCATGTGTTCATTTTTTGGATTGGTAGACTCAGCAGATGAGCCTGAGTTTCCCAGTTACCTGTAATTAAGGATTAGGATGAATGGCAAACTTGTTCTAGAGCTGAGGAGGAAGCAGAGTTGTAACAAGGGTAGGGTGACCAGGGCTTTGTACAGGGATACTAAGGGCTTTTTCCTTCTGTAGGGCTCCAGAGACTGCCATCACTGTTCTTCACATAGGAACAAGATGAAATAAAGTTGGAAAGGCAGTTAAAATCTCCCTGCCTCTCCTCACCCCTGGCCAACAGTCCCAGGAGACCATTTCCACAGTGCCTCTCTTCCCTCCCAACCTTCTTGGGAATATAGGCCAGAATCTGCAGGAGATGGGGTGGCCCCCTCCTGGAATGACCATGTCTACAAGCCTACTTTCACTGTCATCCTCCCCCCTCAAATGCTTTTGCCCCAGGGGAAAGTTTTCCTCCCTACTTCTCTAGAAGGAAGTAAAGGGTATGAAACAAAAGCCAGGAATTTGACCTTCATGTCAAATAAATTACTGTTCTCAAAGAAAAAAAGTCAGCAGTGGCTAGATAGCTGAAGACTGGTTAATCCAGAGCACCTAGGGGACCCATCTTGTGTCCTGGAGGTGAACAAGAAAGGGGTGGGAGACTTCTGGCTGTTGTAGGAAGAGTGAAATGTGTAGGTGACCTCAGGATGTAAAATAACATGGCGTACATAGTTTGGGCATGCCACTATCAATAGCCCATCTCTTCATCCAATTCAATTCAATATACATTGTGCATTTACCATGTGCAAAGCCCTAGGGAATACAAAGACAAAATAGAAACAGTTGCTGCTCTCAGGAAGGTTATATTCTACTAGGAGTGACATCTACTATAGAAATAGATGAGGAAATCCGAGGTCATCTGAGGAGAGAAATCAAGACTCTTAGAAGGATCTGTAAAGACTTAAAGGGAGAGAGAACACCTGAGTTGAGCCTAGATGCAAGACAGATGTGTTGAGTGATAGAGAAAAGAAAGGAGTGGGTTGCAGGAATGGAAGAGAGCCTGGAAATGAGAAGGCTAGGGGAAGAGGAATTATATCATTATCCTCAGCCCCAGGGGAAAGGACCAGGAACAACAAAAAGAAGAATTTAGGCCTGATAATAATGAAACATTTTCTACCCAAGAGGTCTGTCCAAAAGCAAAATGGATTACCCTGAGAGGTAGTGGGTTTCCATTCATTAGACTTCTTCAAGGAATGATCCCTTATCAGAAATGGTAAAGACAGGAGATTCTTGCTCAAGTCCACTTGGGATTAATTAAGTGCCATCCTCCATGACTGAGAAGTGCCTTAACTAAGCTCACCCAGGAAGACAATGGTGGGCAGAAACTTGAGGATGAATGCCTTACTGAGCCTTGTTCAAACACTCTTAGAGAGCACAGAGGCAAGACTCAGCTTTCCAATTTAGGTGGTATGGCGGGAGCGGATAGAGCGTTGCACTTGGGAGTCAGGAAGGCCTGGGTTCAAATCCTACTTCAACACTTATTAGCTGTGTGACCCTGAGCTTAGTATAGTATCACAGACTTGGAGCCAGAAGGAACTCGAGAGAGAACATTTAGTTCAACTCCTTCCTTTTACAGAAGAAGAAACTGAGCCCTGAGGCAGTTAAGTGACATAGGAGATAGAGTGCTGGGCCTGGAATCAGGAATATCTGAGTTCAAATCCAGCCTCAGACACTCAGTAGTTGTGTGACCCCAACCGGGTCACTTAGCTTTTGTCTGCCTCAGTTTCTTCACCTGTAAAATGGGTATAATAACACCTCACAGAGTTGTTGTGAGGATCATATTGAGGTAGGGCCCATCATATATAATAAATGTCCCTTTCTTCCTTCTTTAGCAATGACACACAAGTAAGAACTGGGATTCAAACATTGTTCCTCAGCCATCAAATCCATCTTCTACCACACCACACCGCCCTAAACGATCAGTGGGAATGTCTACAGAATCTCCCAGAAGTCCCTGGAACTCCCTTGGTTCACTACACCCCTGGCCAGAAGTCATCAATCAACTAGCATTTATTAACAAGTATGATGTGTCAGACCCTGGGGTTACAAACACAAAGAAGAAATAGTTCCTGCCCCCCAGGACCTTACATTCTAGCAGGAGAATCAACATGTGCACATAAGCAAAATGTGCCATGTACCCAATACATACAGGATAGGTAAAACATAATGGCAGGGAGGGACGCCAGCAGCTGGGGAGATGAAGAAGGTCTTCATGCAGGAGGCAGAGCTTCAGCTGAACTCTGAAGAAAACCAGAAATTCTAAGACGCTGAGGGGAGGCAGGAGTACATTCCAGGTTTAGGGGACAGCCCCGGCAAAGGAAAAGGCAGGAAACCCAGTGATGTGTATGAAGAACAGCTGAAAGACTGGTCTGACTAGGCCACAGCGTACACAAAAAGGACTCATGGGCTAGAAAGCTAAGTTGGAGTCAGGATGTAAAGGGGCTTTAAATACAAACGCAGGAATCTGCACGCAACCCTAGAAGAGGCCTTTGGGGAATGTGGAGAGCTCAAGACTGAAAAGGTGAGTTGAAATTATTTCCCAGGGACACCCTCAGAATTTCAGTTACGTCATCTGCAAAATGGGTACAATACCATCCAAAGTACCTGCCTCACTGGGGGTATTGCACGAGGCTCCAACAAGATAAAATAAGTGAAGCACTTTGAAATTTTTAAAGCTCCATAAAAATGTCAGTTATTAATATTATTATTATTGTTGGACAGTGATAGATGGACTCCTTTGTGCCAAAATATGTAAAGTCAGGATTTGTGTGTCAGTGAAGAATGCAGAGAAAAAAGCGAGAAAATACAACCCGAGTTCCTTTAATCAAACCAATGATATTTACAGCCTATGGGGGGTGCCAAAATATCCTAGGAAATGCCGACGTCTTTGTGAGTCAAGTACAGCCAAGCTCAATATTTCAACACGGGGGCACATCTCTTCAAGGAACAAGGTTACACTTTCCCCCTCCCCTCTGGAAGCGAGCTTCACCTCAGAGTTCATGGCTGAACACTCAGACAATGTCATCTTAAAAAATGCAGCTCCCTTATCTAAAAGTTGCAGGTCTGGGCCCAGCCTTCCCAAATATCCTCGGACAGAGGGCTCTCCTCGTCCCCCAGATGTGCCTTAGATTGGCAACAAGCGGGCCTCCACCTCCCCTCGTCTCTTCCCACTTAGCCAAGGGAAATCGTCTGCCTGGCAGTACCCAGAGCAGGGCTTTTCGAGGAGACAGCCAAGCCTCGATTATTCCTGGCAAGAAAGGTCAGGAAACATTAGAAGAAATAAAGGAATGAAAGGTTACCTGTTCGGGCTTCAGCCCTGGTGGGACCCAGGCATACTCCTCCAAGGCACAGCCTGAGTCATCATCTGAGGTCGAGTTCCTCTGGAAGTCAAACATGAGCTTGCTAACCGTCTTCTCCATTTCCAACGGCATCACCGTCACGACGTGCTCTTCCTGGGGACACTTGCAATGTAGACAGATCTTCCTGTGAGCAGGAAGGGAGGCTTGGTGAGTGAGAAGGCAGGGAGGAAAGAAACCATTTTCCAGAGGGCTGCCAATCACTGAAGCTCCGATCTCGAACTAAAAACATTCTTTGGCAACATGCCTCTGGCAGGGCCCCAGAGCATCCAAAGCAGTGTTCTCTTGCAGCATGTGTGTGGACGCCTTCCGTGATGGGAATGGAAACACACGCCCATGTGCAGGCAGCCCCAGAGGGTCATAGGCCAGGCAAGAGGGGAGGGAGGGAAGAGGCATTAATATAGCACCTCCTATGTGCCAGGCCCTATGCTAAGCTCTTTACAAATATTATCTCATTTGAAACTCAGAACAGCCCTGGGAGGTAGGTGCTGTTATGATCCTCATTTTACAGTTGAAGAAACTGAGGCAGACAGAGGTTAAGTGACTTGCCCAGGGTCCCACAACTAGTAAGTCTCTGAGGCTGGATTTGCTGATTCTTGGCCCAGTGATCTGCCTACTGTGGCACACAGCTGCCCAATACTCTCAGAGTTACTTGAACATGAACTCCGCTTCCCTTTTATGAAGTTTCCCCTGGGTTAAGACAATTGTGTTTGTGTGTGTGTGTGTGTGTGTGTGTTTACTTGTATGCACATATGAGTGTGTGCATTTTTTAGTTAGGTAGAAAGTTTAAAGACTACAAGTATAAACTCATTGACAGTAATACAGAAGTTAAATATTTACCAGAAGAAATTACCAGCAAACTTGATATTCACATCATATTTTTTTAATAATAATGATAAGAAGGAAGAGGAGACTTCCTCTTCCTAACAATAACAAGAGATGGAACGTATAATGGTCAGCACTGGTCAGGACTCAGGTTCAAATCCAGCCTCTCATACTTCCTGGCTACGGCTCTATGACCCTAGACAAGTCATCTCACTACTCCATGCCCCAGGCAACTCTACAAGTTACAGGGCAGCTGTTGATCTGCATTGGCAGAGGAGGGTTTCCTCACCGGCAATTCCCTAACCAAAGGAACCACAGATGTAATAATAACACTATCAAGCACCAGAGACATTGTTACAGAGTGCATAGAGTGCCATCTTTGGAATCAGAAAGACTTGGATTTTAGGCCTGCCTCTACCATATACTGAATGTGTGACCTAGGAAGAAAGGAAGGAAGGAAGGAAGGAAGGAAAGTAGAACAGGCAGTAAGTGCCTACTATGTACCAGGCACTCTGCCAGGCACCTTTCAAATATTACCTCATTTGATGACAGACACAACCAAGGGTCCAGGCAACTCTCTGAAACCGTGAGATATAGACAAAGTTGCCAGTCAGCATCAGTGCAGTTAGGGTTAGTTGAAATCAGTAGAGGAAGTTTCCATACCAGTAACTGGTTCAGATTTAAACATTATTATCACCATTACTGTTGTTGAGGATCATATAAGGTAATATATAAAGAAGTACTTTGCATACTTTAAAGTGATATGTAAATGCTACTTGTTAATTATTATTATGAAAGAAGAGGAGAAGGAGGAGAAAGGGAAGGTAGAAGAGAAGGAGGAGAAGAAACTTGGTTGCAAAGAAGAGATCAGAACATTGCCTGCCTCCCTTTCTTTGCAGAAGTGGGGGACACACAACTATAAAACATTGCCTATAAATCAGATTTTATTAAGATGTTGATTGGTTTTGCTGAATGCTTTATTCTCCTTCCTCTTGGTATGAAGAACAGAAGGGAAAGGAGAAGGAGACAGAGGAAAAATGTAGGACACATAAAAACAAAAGATATCAACAAAATCCACTTAAAAATACAACAATAATAATCCCTGATTTCTATCTGCTGCTTTGTTTGAAGCAGGATTGCCTATCGTATAGAGAGTTAGCCTCAAAGTCAGGAAGGTTGGGCTTCAGTCCGTGCCTTTGACATATTCAAGCTGAACCTTTCAGAGTTCTAGGCAACTGCCTAAGACTTTAAGTTGTAGAGAAGGTGCCTACCTATATCTGTAGAGAGAGTTTCCCCACATGGGAGTTCCCTATATAATCCTTTAACATTTTTGAAAGTGCTTTATACATAGTATCTCATTTAACCCTTACAACATCCAAGTAACATGTATACTACAGATACTATTTCCCACTTCCTACCCCCTTTTTGGATACCTCTTGGTATGGAAATGGCAGATACAGAGCCATGACTCATCTGTGAGTTATACTATTTAAACACTTGCCTGAGGCACTGAGGGGGTTGGGTGACTTCTTTCTAGTCACAAAGCTGGTTTATGTCAGCAGAGATCTGAACCCAGGCCTTCTTGATTCAAAGGTAGTCCTCTATCCACTAGGCCTCAAAGCCTCCCTAGAGTCTTCCTAGCAGAGAAAGACAGGGTTTTCTGAAAGGGATCTGCATACAGCAATTAAGTGAATGGAATTGCTTTCTAAGTGAAAAGCAGAGATACATTTCTTCCCCTGAACTGGGCTAACTGAAGGATTCTCTTAGGAAAGAACTGTCTACCTCCATTTCAGAGAGCTGGAGACTTGAAATCCTAATTAGAAACCGGATTGTTCTCTACCTTAATCGTTTTTACATATCCAGGAAGGCCATGCATCTGTGAGTTTCAAGCAAAGGTACATAAAGATACAATCCTTCCCCAGCACTGAGTTTTCTCTTTTAAGGTTACCATCTGTTCCCTCCTCTATGGGCACAAAAAGGATGAAGATATATAAAAAGAAAGCAAGCAGCAGGGGGGAAAAAAAAACAACCTTCATTTTTCTACCTCCAAACAAAAAAGGGCAGTGACGACTCCAAAATAATAAATAGTCCAATTTCTTCTACCTTAGCTTTCCTGATTCCTAATGTGGGGAGCCTTCAAAGCCATCCATCCTAAGTACCCTGGATCCATATTTGCACCTAGGTTTCCACTTTACCCTTTACAACACAAGAATGTACTTGAGGAAAAAAAAAAAGTCAGGAGGCTCCACTGGGCCAGGCCACAGAGCACTGCCAGATTCTCTCATTTCCTGCCTTCCATCAGATCTAAGACGCCCACAGCCCCAAAACACACTGTATGTCTGGTTTGCATCTACCAAGTCAAAGGGGCTCAGTCTGGCCTCTGGCTGTTACCTTCAAAAATAATCACAGCGTAATTTAATGGGAACGCTTTAATTAATCAGCTACTGTGAAGAGGCCAGAGCTGCCGAGAAGCTTTCACAGAGTTTCTTATACGAGTTTATGACTTGAGGAAAAAGAGCTCAATGTGTGTTGAAGTTAATTTTACTAAGCTATTCAGTGACTAATGCTTTTTTTTTTTAACTAGAAAAATCACACATTTATTTTCATAAAACTTAAAGCAATCTTACCCAGTGCAGTCCCCAGAATAGCCATCAAGGAGCCTCATTTATACAGCAAGACAGGGAACAGCAAAATATTTAAAGTTGGAGGAACTAACAAAATAAACCGAAACATCAGGAGAAAGAAAAAAAAAACCACAACCTGGAAGAAATAAGCCCCAGAATTCGAGACGCAGACAGAGCGAGCACTAACGGCAAATCCACAGAAGGGAAGTGCTAGGAGAAGGGGAACCAGAGTCCATTAAACCGCCCAGATGAGCACTGCTCCATCCCATCTGAGGATGGGAGAGTGACACAATCCTGGCTCAGTGTCCCTAGCCCCAGACTAGGCACCCTGGAGGGAGGGACGAGTGGGAGGGAAGAAGAGGAAAAAGGGAAAACTTTCATAGCATCCACAGGCCAGCAAGCTGCCATGGCGCTTGTCGATGCACAACTTGCCTCTCAGATCCATTTCTCTGCATCTGTGGGGCGAGAAAGGCATCCCAGAGAATTCAAGATGTTCTCCCCACCACCTGACTGAGCAAAAGGATTCTATTTTAAGTGGTGGAGACGGCTTATGGCTCTGTCAGCCTGGAGCCTTAGAGCTCGCTGCTTGTAAAGATTCCACCAACAGGAGAGCAGCACTTTGGTTGGAACCAAAGAGCCGCTCATCTTGTGACTAGCACGTGTCCCCAAAAAATTGTTTTAAAAGCCACACACATCTATATATATACACATACATATACATATATACATATACATGCATACATATGTGTGTGCGCACATATGTACATATACATATATGCATTGCACATATACATATGTATGTGTATGTATCTATGGAAGGAGGGAGAGAGGAAAGAAAGGAGGGAGGGAGGAAGGAAGGAAGGGAAAAAAGAAGCAAACTTAGGACTAATCACCCTGAAGCAAAAAGCAAATTGAAACAATAACAAAAATCCCCAAATCCTTCAAAGGACCCTTTACCTCTTTCTGCCTTTGTTGTTATTTAGTTTTTTTTTAAGTGGTCTCCTACTCTTCATGACTCATTTGGGATTTTGGCAATGACACTGGAATGGTTTGCCATTTCCTTCTCCAGCTCCTTTTACAAAGGAGGAAACTGAGGCACACAGGCTTAAGTGACTTGCCCAGGGTCACAATGCTAGTACATGTCTGAGACCAGACTTGAACTCAGGAAGAGGAGCCTTCCTGACTGCAGGCTCACCACTCTATACCATACCACCTAGCTGCCCCTTTCTGGCTATTTCTCCTCTCATTTACAACCTCTCCTAAAAGGTCCAAGTTCCCTGAGGACAAGAATCACTTCACTTGTGCCTTTGTAACCTCAGTTACAAATAAATAGCATAATAAATAGTAGATAAATTCTGGCTGATTGATTAGTATGATAAATAGGAAAGCTACTAGCATTTGCTATTTGCAAAGCTTTTTTTTTTTTCCAACTATTTCTCTATGGTACTGTGCACTGTGTGCTTGCCCTGAAGAAGACTTGGGTTCAGATCTCCTCTCTGACACTTACTAGTGGTAGGATCCAGAGTAAGTCACTTAAAAACAAAAAAACAAAACAAAACAAAAAAAAACAAAAAAAAAAAAACTTCTCCGTGCCTCAGTTTCCCCATAAATAAAATGGGGCAAAGGGAAGAAGTTGAACTCCCTTCTAGCTTTTCATCCCTAAGATCCTATATTGGTT